AAACCGAGGTTCCACTGTACTGTATATATCTCCCAGAATTCCCTGTGAACATGAACTGGGAATTCTGGGCATTATAAAATTGTAATGTCAATGCATCTAGAGGGCACCAGGTGGGGGAAGAAAATATATTGATGGGTAAAAGAGCACATTCATAAGATTGCTTCAAATGATTAATAATCCATCAGTATCATCTTAATCTGTGCACGGGAGGAGGAGAGTTGCAGAGGATAAAAAAGGGAAGTGCTTAATCCCAGTTCTGTCCCCTGCTTTTTGTTGGCAATCAGCCATTTTTTCCCTGAATTTCCTATCAATAATTAACTCTAGTGGAAGAAAAGCATCTGGGCAGAGTTTTAAGCTTAGCTGTTGCTCTGGTCAGTGGTGGCTTTGTACACTGTTGGTAAGAAGAGCTCAGGACGCCCTGTCTTCGCCCCAGGACATGGCGTCACTGCATATACTGTATATGCACCATACCTTTAGTAACACACAAGTAGATTTGTAGGTTTATCTGCGAGCGGTAGATAATTGACTCTGCTCTCTGCACCAGCTTTTTTACATCTGACGTTGACGGATGGACTTGGACTTCCTGGCAAAAGAAACAAACGCCAAACAAATCACAGGAGACAGGATGAAGCTTCAGCCCTCAGTGGAGGAAAGCCCTCTGACTCTTTCTCACTCCAACAGCTTGTCCCGTTTGCAAAGCACAGAGATCTCTGGCTCTCCCCTCCAGCTGCCAAGCGCCACGCCATTTCCCTCTGCACCTAAGGCTGCTCTGGGCTCTGTCGGTCATCCGACACAGACAGAGCAGACCAGGAGGGCTTCCATCTTCAGCTTCCTCCTCAGAGATAGGGGCAGAACCAGAGGACAGGTTTCCATCTCTTTTGCCTTTACCTCGGAGATAAAGAGGGATGTCAGTTTATTCAATTTATTCTCCTTCCTTGAGCTCTGAGCTGTTGAGAAGCAGGACCTTGTCCCTCTCCCATCCTTGACCTTAAAACTGGAAAGAAGAGTAAAACTATCCTTGTTGTCAGGCTGCCTCTGAGATGAAGCACAAGATCAAGACAAGATCAGCCTTGCAGCTGGTGGGAGGGGAAAGGGCCAGCAGCAACATGCTTCTGCTTCCCCATGGCGTAGCAGAAATATATCAGGATGGCTAAGGCTCTGAATGGATATAAGGGAAGGGGGAAACAATATGGCTCCTTGTGGACTGTGTGACTGCAAGGAGCACTAGAAGTTCACTCATTTTCATTTTGTGCTGCCCTTCAGAGGTCTGGATCTGGTTGACCTCAGAAGCTAAGAAGGGTCGACTTGGGTGGCAGAGCACCTGGAAAGTTGAAAAAACACTCGAGAAGGCAGCTGAAGCCAACTATTTATGTAATACTGTCCAGAAAACTGCATGGATGCAATAACCAAGAATCAAGTTCTGCTTAAGAAGGTCTTCACCTTGTGTGACCTTTTGGGCTAACCTACACAAAGGGGTGGTGGGATGTTAATAACGCAAGGGGAAAGTCATGTATACCACATTCAGCTCTTTGGAGCAAAGTTACTTTTTCGAATATAAAAGCAACAAATAAATGCAGTAGAGCAGCATTTCTCAACCTTGGCAACTTTAAGATGGGTGGACTTCAACTCCCAGAATTCATGCTGGCTAGGGAATTCTGGGAGTTGAAGTCCACCCATCATAAAGTTGTCAAGGTTGAGAAACATTGCAGTAGAGGTTGGAAAGTGATGAGAACCCAAAGCAGGGTATTAAGAAGGAACCTGACTTCATCTGAACCACAAGCAAACTTAGGCTGACAGGTAATGTCCATGCATTCTAAGGAGATCCGGAGAAGAAGGGGCTCCTTTCCTTCCAATTTTTCAACCCGTCAATGGAAAACTGATTTGACATTGATTTACTGCCCCCTTGCTTGGAAGAAGTGGACTAAGGACTGGAATCTCAGAGTTCTGGGAACTAGGAAGCCTTCAGATCGCATCCTTTTATTAAAAAGGGAGGTGGGGAGGGGAAACTTGGCCACTAATCACCATACTAGTCTATTAAGGATAGATATTTGTTGTTCTCACTCCCCATGCCAGCTGGGCCCGGGCGTGCAAAGGGAAGTCAGAAAAGTTCTCTTTCTATAACTGTGTCAATGACCTTAAAGTACCAGAGTCTTTCCAGGAAAGCTAGTTTGTTGATGACTTGGAAATATTTCCCCTACCCACAGTTTTTGGAGGACTGCTTGTGCCAGAAGCCAGAACGGAGCTTTTAAAAAGTCATGAACTTTTACATGCAGGCAGGCATGCATGCATACATATTGTATGTGTCTGCAAGGAGTCTATTTCTCTTCCTTTAGAAAGCCTATGCTAGTTTTTGCAGAAGTTTCCAGCAGCCAAGTATTAATGAACAAAATGCATATGCATAGGAGACAATCAGTTGTCTTGGTTTGAGAGCAAGCTTTGCTTCACATTTAAAGCAACAGAG